ATGTGCCTAGAGGTGCTAAGGAAATTATTCCTCAGCACATGAGATTTTGAAACAGCAAATGATTGCAGATGAAGATGACTTTGTGTTACACCGAAATGGGGGTTGATGGGCATCTTAAATATTCTTAATCTTCCAGGAAAGAAGAAAGGAATAGGTGAGGAAAGGGATGCAGGTAAGACTGAGCAAACTGCCCTGATACACCTACAGTTAAATTTCCTGTCATTAGGGAGTGGCTACACCAAGTATAAATGTTTTATCTTACATTGGCTTCCTTTTAAATTCAGGGTGGCTGGGCCTGCCACACCAACTGATATATGTGAGATTCTTTTTAATGCAGTTGGAACATGTCTCTGGCTGCCTACTGTCAATGAGCTGTGCTTTCAGCTGAGTTCTCTGGGGCAGTAGTCTTGCTTCCGGGATCTAGGGGAAATGATTATCCTGACCGACACAAAGTTTTGAAATCTTAAAAATGTTTCCATTCTGTCTCGGAGAAAAAAAAAAAATTAACATTTTGAATTCTATGAATCAGTAACCCAAACAAAACAATAAATTGGAGTAGTTGGAATTCTTTCACCTCAAATTTATTTCTACATATTCTGGTAAATTAGCATGTTTTTCTAGATAGCAAGTCCAGAACTGTAAGTGCAATGTCTTTATTAAAACATCTTTACTTCTGTTTAAAGGCTATTTCAAATGGTGGCTTTATGTGTTGAACAGTAAAAAGCTCACTTTCTGAACTGTTTTCTTTCAAGAAATTAGGACAATGGAAATTATCTTCAGAACAGTTCTCTTCTACATATCTCCCACCCTATCAAAACAAAATTCTGGCAACCTGGCAGGCCTGTGTTGTATTTTAACTCCCTGTTGTCCTCTGGCTACCCTTTTCCAAGCAGTGATGGCTTGAAGACTGAGGAGAATAAGAAAATGTGTCTGAATGAGTTCCCTAGAGATTGATCAAGTACAAGTAGGAAGTTTTAGGCTGCAGATGGAAAAAATAAGGTAGTAATTCTTCACTGTAGTGATAACATTTCCACAGTAGAGGCAGCGTGTGTCTATCCTACATGTGAGTTTACCACTATTTTATTTTTGTGGACCTGTTAGTCTTCAATAGACTTGCTATGAAAATTGTTTCTGGTCTCTGCTAAGAGTATGTAGAATTACTGTTCATTACTGTTCTGAATTGGAGGCTTGTAGTTTCACCTGAAAATGAATGTGTTCTAGTGTTCAAATAATTTGTCATTAAAATTAGAAAATGTTGCATAAAGAATATCTGTATCAGGGATACCAATATTAATAGGTAAGCATGCTAATTTAAACACAGACCCCTTCTAGCTAAAATCTAGATGCTTGGACTTGGTCAGAGGATGCCACGTTTAGTTCATTTCATCAGTAGCTATGATCATGAAGTAGCACACTGAAAATGAGTGCTGCAAAACATTGGAGGCAATTGAATTTTAAAGCTGTCCAGGTTGGTAAACTATTTCACTGTAAAATGGTTTATTCAAATATCACCGTTATCTCCTACTGAGAGCAGCAACTGAACTTTTCATATTCTACTTTTCATATTTTACACGTGAACTGTGAAATTCTACAGCATTTATAATGACCTTCACAGGCGAAACCAGGACTTTTTAAACTCAGATATTTTGCTTTGTTGTCATAGGTAAGCTGCTTTAACAGTCAGTGTTGAATAAGGACTTAACATTTGGGTTTGCACACAAATTCTTACACTTCATAAACAGACGTCTGTCTTTATAATGTTCTGAAATATAATTAGCATATGTAGTTGTTATAACCTTTTGGGTTTTTTTCCCCAAAGCATTTGAAGGTTTCAAAGGCATTCAAAACAGATATTGACTGGATCTAATGCTAGATCTGACTTCCATAAGTGACCTAAATGCCTATCCTGCAGGACACCTATGTATGGATGCAATTTCATAAATTTTCTTTATTATGATTGGAACCTGCTCTTTTTTTTTTTTTTTTTTTTTTTTAGTTTTCTGTGTCATTTCAACACTTCACCCTGTAAAAAAGGGATATTATCAGTTGCACAAGGATGTTGAAAGGACTAAATAATATATGAAGATACAAAACATTGTGTAAATAATTAATGCCATTCATATTTTTAATAACAATGCCATAATTAGTTCTGGACAAGCTAAAGGCTTCTAATACAAGTATAAAAATCCTCCCATATTTTAACTATGTACTTTAATTTAAACTAAATTCTTACCCTCCATTTAAAATAAATGAAAAAGAAGAAAGTGTTTTGATCATTCAAAACTGTAGCAGAATGATAGCAGTGTAATATGTAATCTTCAACAGTATAGCTATTTTTAAATCAAAATACCAAATAAACTGTTCACTGTGAGTCCAGCATCAGCAGCAGAGAAATCCAATGCCTGTTTTTAACTGGAACAAACAAATGCAACAGAAACATTTCCCAAACAAAAGGAGTGACCTACAGGCTCTTTCTAATTACTGCCCTTCCTCATTTGCCATCCTTAGCCCACCAGCAAGGATTTTTGGAGCTTTTCTGCCTTGTACTTTTCTACTGTTCTTCATGACACTAATATCTTTCCCTTGTACTTTTTTTCATTGTGCTTTCTGACACTGTGGATTACTCATTGTGCTGGTGGTAGCAGGGGTGCCTTGTGATTTGTGCACCATGTAAAACCCAGATGAAATCACTGTGACACCCAGGGACTGCAGCAGTAGACCTCTTCGGAAAGAGAAGTAGGGATGTCCCCAAGACCCAAGGCAATGTCTTAATTTTTAATTATTTTTTAAGAATATGGTTACAGGGAGTGAATATGGAGATAAATCCATGGAAAGCAACAGATAAAAAATTTGGGACCTAACTTTAGAGATTCACTCAACACATAACATTTCCATACAGATACAACTGTCAAAAGAAACTAACATTTCCCCAAATTCAGCCATTTAAAAATATGACTGGTTGTATCCTCCTCAGAACAATAAAATGGCAGTTGCTCCAGCTGAAGTAGGAAAGAATATCATGATTCCTCTTTTAACAGCATCAAAACAGTTGTTACAGTTTTGATGATAGGATCAGGTGAAGTCATGTTGTGGTGGGCAGCTCATATTCCTATGGGTCCATGTGACAGGTGTGCAAGTACAGGGGATGGCTTGTGGTACATCAGGGTGAGGCAGAGCTGCCTCCTCCCAGAATCCTGGTTTGAGTGATTTAGAAAGGCAGGCGCTGCCACTGCTATAGTCCTGAGCACACAAATGCAACTGAGCTGCTGTCACGTTTCATTTCTTCTTGCTGGTTGGAATAGGCAGACGGTTGGGCATATTTTCCACTTCTGAAATTCATTGTATTATTTGGCATGTTTGCTGTTTGACTGAAGTACTGAGCTGGCTGGAAGTGTCCTCGCTCCAGATGGCCAACTTCATGGCGTACTTAGGGCATAGCTATGAACAACACTCTAAACTAACATAAACCAGCACAGGCTCTGCTGGGAATGCAATTATATACCATAACTTGACAACTAAACTATTTTTGCAATATAATTGCCTCATACAGATTTAAATAGATTTGTTTCCCTGTGTATGAAGTATATTTTCTCACAAAGGCTTCATCCACTGTGTGTTGGTTAAATTCAATACTAGAACTGTATGTATAAATCCTGTGCCCAGTTCCCATTGATTTAAGTCTGGATTCCTAATTCCCTTTAGATATTTTGAATTTCCTAATTTAAGTGTACAGAAATTCGGCATTTCTGCCTCCTACATTTACGTTCAGCAAAACATCTTGATTCATAAACAGGATGGAAAGGAAACTAGAAAGGGCATGTGCTTATATGCTTCCCTAAATAGGAATGGATATAAATCATGTTCTTTGGGAATGCTTGTGATTAATTTTAATGTCTTTAAAAGACAGAAGGTAGGTGACAATTTTTTTACATTTTTTTTAGGACCTAAGTCTCTCATGGTACTGTTAATTCCCACCATTTTCCTTGCAAAACAAATATTTTAGCAGTCTCATGATTATGTTATAATTTGCTTAGCTTAAGCAACTGAAGAATTATTAAAATGTATTAGATTATAAATTTTGTGGATTGCTGGCTCATTTATATTATCTGTCATTGCTACTCCGATAAAACTTGCAATTAGATTTATGGACACAAAGCGGTTAAACACAATACGAGGAAGAAAATGCTAGAGTTTTCAAGATATTTAAATTATATGCCCCTTCCTGGTGTTCTGGAAATGGAAAGAAATGTAGGCTAATTTAGAAGGGTTAATTTATAATAGTAAATAAATAGACAGTTTTAATGTAATTTACAGTATGCTTTCTTAAACTCCTTCAAGAGCTGGCATTAACTAAAGCAGAATAAGATACGTTATTTCTAATAAGAACTAAATCATGTACAATTGAATTTGTGTTTACTAAAAATGTGATTTGCCCTGGCTCAGGTGTGATAGAACCCTAGGTAAAGGCTTTCACAATGGCATTTCAAACTAGAAGAATAAAAGAGTCTTCTCTTTTGAGAAGGTACAGAAACGATATTATGATACTTTGGTTATCAGACTGATGCTCGTGTCAGGGGTTAATTTTCTTTTTCTTTTTCTTTTTTTTTTCTTTTTTTGAGTACTTTTTTCTTATTACTGCAAATTGGTTCTGATCACAAATGGAGTATCTGGTTGCTGTTCTGGCTCCAATGGAAATGATGCATGTCAAATTTCCGTGCAGCTATAGCCAGGTGATGGATAGTGTTAACTGATGTCATCCAGCCTTTATAACGCTGTTATCTCTTAAAATAATGTTACCTTATTTGTTTTACCACAGTGCATTTTCTCACTTCATGCAATTACTAAAAACTTCTGAAGTAATTTTGATAAAAATACCCCAAGACAACTGTCTTTGCAATTAATTTCTTGTACCTGTGTCTGAGCACATTAATATTAGATCTCATTTGTCAAGAACAAGCAAGCAAGCAGATATCAGCAGCCTGTGTATCTTGGCATTTCAGGTGGGGAAATGGGAGAACAACTCACTGAGCCTGAAGTACTCTGTCTGGCCAAGGTACAGCTCTTTTGCAGACAGCGACCCAGATGATAACCATTTGAGTATTGTCACCCTGGAGGAGGCTCCCTTTGTCATTGTTGAGGATGTGGATCCTTTGATGGAAAGTTGCCAAAAAAACACCGTGCCATGTCGTAAATTTGTCAAAATTAAGTAAGTAAATACACAGCATTCCTTTCTTTTTTTCCTGAGTGCAAAATCTATTCCCCTATTTTCTCATTAATTCTTTGTTTTGCTTCTTTTATTGTATATTTTTTTCTGATACTTTGCTGTTCTTTTCCTCTTGCTTCCTATCTTTGCTTTTCCTTCCTCTTTCTTTTTCTTGTTTGCACATCTTCCGTTTTAATAATTTGAAAGGTTCTGGTTATATACATGTAAGTCACATTGAATTAATGACAAGGTAGTAAGTTTATAGTAAGTTCAAAGTCATCTAGAATCACCGATTTTCAGTCACATGAAAGAAGACTGTGTTCTAAAATATGATTGTTTTAATGAGTCCTCTTTGAATTGTTTCCAGTTATGTATTTGCCTATTTTAATTAGTCTTTAACAATTTGAGAATGTCTCCTATTGAAAATGTACGTTTATGCTGAAACTTGGTACCAGATAAACTACTCCAGCATAAAATAGCACTGTGACATACCATCTAGAGAAAAGTGCCCTGCTTTGATTGCTCTATAACTTTGGAGCAGTCATTAGAAATCAGTGGATAATTTCCCATTGTGCATTTATCAGTGTTGTTGCACCTGTCTGTGCTTCAGTCTACATATTTATGAACTGAATATAACAACAACTTTGTTTTACTGAGCAGATGTTAGGGAATGTAATGCATGTTTCTGAAGATTTCTGAAGGCTGCTAGATGGTTGTTCTTCCTGAAGTCCAGCAAAACATTTTTTTGATGTAACTGTACTAGTCAAGTTCTAAACTAGTTTTATTTTAATTCTAAATTCTTTCAAAGGCTGTAAAATATTGCCTTGGCTTCTGAAGACACTTATACTAAAAAGTTCTAAAGGTCATGAAATGAATATTTCAGAAAAACATAAAGGGAAAGCCCTAGTCTTTGCACTCAAAGGCGGCCTGAAATTCACCTTCTCGAAGTGCAGAAAAAGGTGCAGCATGCATTTTCAGTCCGGTGAACTGCTGTGCCTTTGTATAGTTTACATGTTGGGAAGTTCTCTAATTACTAAATGTAGTCTTAAGTCTTGAGAGTAAAAGTAACAAATGTTTAATCAAAGCCTAAGAGAGAAATTAGTAAGATGAGACTGTGTGTCTTGATGGAGAAGTGAAGTGCAGTAGGCTGGATACTGCAGCAGAAAGTATGTTGTATGAGGTCTACCAATATCTTCCATTTATCTCTCGTCAAGCAACTAACTGCTTTATGATTAGTAAGAGCTACAAACACCATACCAAGCATCCTGTGGATTATCCTCTATCAATTCAGAAATATATGGTCACTCACAAGCACGACAAAATGTTGTTTCACAGTATGCTGAATCTTGGTGATGTGGTGGTTCTGTTTTTCCAGTAGAAATGTTTATGTCTCTCTTCTCTGTTGACAGCAACTCAACTAATGAGGGAACTAATGTAAAAAAGTGCTGCAAAGGATTCTGCATTGATATCTTGAAGAAGCTGTCTAAAACTGTCAAGTTCACATATGACCTGTATTTGGTGACTAATGGGAAACATGGCAAAAAAGTCAATAATGTGTGGAATGGAATGATTGGTGAAGTAAGTTCTGTTAGGTAAAAGAACTCTTAAGTAAGCACTTAGCAATGCTTTTTTAATTCTTTTGGAGAAATTAGGTATTCTCTACTGAGTAATATTGGTGGTGTCTTCTCTTTGTGGATCAGGTGGTATATCATCGTGCAGTTATGGCTGTGGGGTCTCTCACTATTAATGAAGAGCGCTCTGAAGTGGTTGACTTTTCAGTGCCATTTGTTGAGACTGGGATTAGTGTCATGGTGTCACGGAGCAATGGCACAGTTTCACCATCTGCTTTTCTAGGTATGATTCTCCAACCCATGCAGATAATTTAATTGCATTTCTATAAAGTTGTGTAGGTTTCATTGTTTGGTAAGCTATATAGTGCATTGACATGTTTCTGTCAAGTTTTGAGTTTTACATTAGGAAGTTTGTACTGTGCTGACATGCTGATTAACATTAATATTAGCATGAAGATAGTGCTGTTGTTTTCAGATGCAGTAAATGAAAACCAATGATAGTGATTCCAGTAAGAAAAAGAATCCCACAAAATCTTCAGCTAGGAAAATTACTTCCTCAAAAACTGCTTCTTTACAAACTAATTTATGCTTGTATTGCCCATTATAAGTGGTTTCATATCTTTTTCACATTCACAAAATAATTTAAAAATGCCTTTTAGAATAGCTAAGAAAAAGAGACTTTCTTATGCTTAGAAGAGATCTGAGGTTAACTTGATAAGTTACCTCTGGCTTTTGAACTCCATCCGACTGCACTGGAGAGCTTCTGAGCATTTTCTCCATTGAACAGTGCAGGTCAATTAAATGCAGATGCAATTGAGCAGTGGAGTTGTGGTGATGCAGCTGAACACTGGCGACATAGCAAAGACATTAAAGTCTGGACAGAAAGGAGGTGGGATATAAAGAAACAAAGACTTTGGTCTTCCTTGTTTGTTTGCTTCTCGTTTCAATTGTTCATTTCTGCTTTTGTTATTTCCCTTCCCTTCTCCCTTAGTGCTTATTGTTTACTTCTGTATTTGGTGGTTAGCCTGAATTTACCTGAAGCTGAAAAGAGAATGAGCCGTGAGATGGATAAAAGTGCCCAGAATGCTGTTAACTTCTTCATAGTGTATTTGGGCCCAATATTTTTAAAGATATTTTGCACAGGAAAATAGTGCTGGTGACACTAAAATTATTTAAGTGAAATTAGGAGAAAAAGAAAATCAATATTTTCCAGATATCTTACAGAACTGTTTAGAACGTTCAAGTGCATCGAGTCAGCAGTGATGCCATTTTCGCATCACTGATTGTGTGGTTTCTTTTTAGATTGCTAAATTCTTTTCCATTGAAATCACTTGTAGCCATCGAGGAGCAGATTGTTGATGTAGTATCAGCTACAAGTGGGCAAATAATTGGGGTTTCTTGCACACAAATCATCGTTTAGCCACAGATCTTATTTCTCATACCTGTTCCATAAAGGCATGTTAAAGAGATGATGCAAACAAATATAACGCAATGAGTAATCAAATAATTTCCCAAATATGGTGATTCCTAAACTGATTTTGTTGTTGGTTAATATTTTTGTTTAATGAATGAAACATTTTTTAATGAAATGATAAGAGCTTGTACTTTTAATGTAAATATTCAGATAGTGTCCTTTAATTTCTATAAGTCATTGACTTGTAAAGTTCATTCATTTTTAAAATTGCAGTTGCAGCATGTCGAAATTATAATCTGAAATGTAAGTACTGGGGTGTCTTCTAAATGTGCTGCAAGTGCAGTTGATTTTTACTATGGACTCTGCTTACCTCTTAAAAACCTGCTTATAGCTATCATCAAAGAGAGGCTGCTTTTCCATTTTTCACGACAACATAGTTATTAGTTTTCTAAAATGCATTTCATGTTATTGGTTTAGTTGAATGTTAATTTAATTCAAAAAGTAAAAATAACCCCTTCTTATAAAGCTTAATGGAATAGCATTACTTTTGAAGAAATCTGACTTAGTGCACCAATAAATCAAGTCTGTCCTCAGCATGTTCTGGTTTTTTAGACGTAGATTAAGCTGCCACTTTACTGGAATTGACTGTGTATTTCGATGAGGTGTGCATAGTAGTAAAATGCTTTGCTGTGCAAAATGGTATCAGACAGATAACTGAATTTATTCACAGACTGATTTTGTTTCAGTTAAGCCAATGTCTAAGAATAGTCATCTTACATAATTCTTTGAAAAGAATTATGTAAAAAATCCGTCAAATACAATATTATTCTTCTAAAATAGCACTTGATTACAGTTCATGAAATATCTGGTTTTGTGATTTGTTACTATGAATGTAGCAAGTACAGGGTTTTATCGGAACTAGGTTTTCCCTTCAGTGGTTGTGTCCAATAGATGTAACTGATGGGCTGACAGCCTCTTCCTCATTATCTGCTGTGTTCTGATTCTGATGTGGGTGTCTCCTTCAATTTAGAATTCTATCCACATTAAAACATTTTCATTTCACTAAAATTTGTATGTACTAGATCCACAAATAGATTTTTTAAAGATTCTGTGGAGATTTGATTCAACTTTATTTAAAAAAAATAAACAAAATAAAGGAAAGCTCAAATCCAAATTTCTTTATTTTTAAGAGGGAGAGAGTTCATAGATGAGGTCAATTTTCTGTTTTGGAGGCCTTGGTGTAATAGGAAATCTATGCCCCTATTTATTTTATGTATTGTTTAAGTATTGGTTTTGGTGGTGGGAGGTAAAACTCAAAGTTAGTGGAGTGAGATCTTTTTCATTGCTCAATATTCTTCATTGCCAATCATTTGAAATGTACACTGGCAAGTCACATATTGGTATTTTACTGTCATATCATAGCTTTACTGCAAATTCTTATAAAACCCGCTGCTTGCCTGAGTGCAGTTCTCTTTCTGTCCTTTGAGAATCAAAGAACAGCACTGAATGTGTGATTTGATCTCAAATATGACAGGAAGATCGACTTTGTTATTCAGTTGATTTTGTACTTGTTCAATCTTACTGATTGCTATTCTAAATAGCTTTTTATTTTCCTATTGCTTCTTTTAATCCTCCACCTCATTACCAGACTGCTTGAATTAATAAAGAGCATTCTGCTTAAACTGTTGTTTATAGCTCACTTTTTCACATTGGCTTGTTCTGCCCTTTGCGTTTTTTAAATTTTGACAAATTACCTTTGCTGTTCCTACACTGTTGCTTTTGATAGAGTCTTATCAGGCTTCCTTTCTTCTATGAGAATGCTGTTAAAATTGTATGATAGTTTTATGTGAATTCCAATTTAATCCAGTTAACATGTGAATTTATAGAATATTTGTTATTTTGTATTTGACTACATAAAGTCCTTTACCTGTCTGCATCTAAATGAATCTTTCTCTGCCTTTCAAGAATTCTGTTATTTTGCAAACTTACTATTCTCTTCCAAAGAAATAATTATAGTAATTGAAACCTCTCTTAAAAGAATTTTACATATATATTCCCTGCCTTGCTTTTTTAGTTTGCATCCAAAATCACCAGTGGGGCTATGTGGAATTTGGTCTTGTCTTGGTTCCAAATTTCCAAAGAAATTATAGCAAAGGCAAATGATCCCATGAGATTTCTATGCTTTGGCCCGAATTATTACACTTCATTCTAGTTCTGGGTGAATGGTTCATGCTGACTCAGGCAAGGTTCAAAATGAAGGTGAGCTATGGGGCTTAGCACACCTCCACTCTCACTCAGGGTCATTTCCTGCAACGATGGAAGAATTTTCAGTGTTTCAAATCTTAATTAAAATTCAAAGAATGAAGAAGTTAGGATGGAGGAACCTCTTGGGCTTTCAAAAACAGGCAAAGCATTGGAACTCACTAATTTCTTGTCCTTTCAAGTGCTTCTTGATTCTGTCCTAATTTGAAGTAGTATGCTAAGATTTTTTCTCACACTTCAGAGCACACTCTCACTTGCATTATCTACCAAAATTAGACTACAAAATTCCCCCAAATAAACTGACCTGCTAAAGAGATATTACTTTACTATACAAACCCTCTTACATGTATCCTTATACCATGACAGCTACCACAGAGACTCCTGAAAGGACAGAGAATTTTTAATTGGGCAAGATGATATTTAAGAACTTTGTGTTATCACATACTGTTGCCATATCCAGTCCTTTCAAAAAGTTAGTGCTTAGTCTTGGTGCTAGTTGGTATTTGAAACTGCTTTTAGCTTTCTGTTCCAACCTACTTCTCTTACTTAATCATGGTTTTTCTGTCTTTCAAACTGACATTCAGTTTTCCATAAAAACCTTCTGATTTCAGAAATTTGCTCCCAAATGAGAATGAGACTTTCAAAAGGATGTATTTGCAATTGGTAAAAACAACATCTCCATTGCAGGTAGATGAAAGTGAACACAGAAAGAAAAAAAATCTGAATCAAATAAATTTAGTTTGAATGCAAGTATTTAGCTTTTTTCCCTAACACTTTTTGTTGGATAGAAAACAAGAGAGAATTCTACTTCACTGAATTACCAAATGTATTAAACACATGCTTAATTGCTTTTGCTCTGCAGAAACACAGTCATAATGGTTGGACCATTCTGTTGATAAATGCAAGTAACATAGGATAAATAGAAACGGGCCACCTGACTGTAGACTGAATAAGCAGTGAGTCAAACCAATTATTTGCCACTCAGTGTTAGTGAAGGCTTTGTTGAAGAAAAGTGTGCAGCTTTTGGTTTTGAATTGCAATTTACATTTACGATTTTGACTGTGTGAATTTGTGTATATATACTAACAGCCGTTCTTTATTTACTGCTATTTAGTTATTTACTAGCATGCTGGTTGGTAAAAGCTGCTTTAAAGAAAGCTGCTGGGCTTTAGCTGAAGACATTAGAATTCTTGTGCTGAGACTGGTTTAACGAACTGTGTTTCTGTTTCTCTGGTCTGTTTTGCTGCAGAGCCTTTTAGTGCTTCTGTCTGGGTGATGATGTTTGTGATGCTTCTCATTGTGTCCGCCATGGCTGTCTTTATATTTGAATACTTTAGTCCTGTAGGATATAACAGGAACTTAGCACAAGGGAGAGGTAAGCTTCGCATTTTACACAACCCTAAAGCTATAAAAAAGTCATGTATTTCTCATCCCTTGCCCTCCATCTTTTAAAATAAACATAACATAGGAATAAAACAGTAAAAGCAGCTACAAAACTGTTTGCTCTTCATTTAAAATATGATTTCTTGAGGGCTTACATGCTCATGTTTGTATTCTGTTTCATTGGAACAAAGACATATAGAAGGGTAAGTGATATCAGAGAACGTCGTATTCAGGCAGTGTTTTGTTAGTATACTGTATCTGTTGTAGAGTTTCGGCTTAAAAAAGCATTGGAATAAGTTCTACAGACTCCTAACTCTTACAAATTCGTGGTAAATTCAGAATTAATCACCTAAACTGGTGTGGTTTTGTGGATAGTCTGGAAAAATAGCAGTTATGTTTTATACAGTTTTATATACTATAAAAAGTCTGATGAACTCAGCCTTGAAATGAGGCCAGTGGCAGAAGGGCATCGCTTCTTTCTGTGTAGCATCCATGGCTACAGAAACTTCATTTTCAAAATATACTAGCACAACAAATTTAATACAGAGCTTGCCTTTCTCAGTGAAAGCTGCGGTTGTTTATTATTAGCACTTTGACCTGAGAATGAGGTTTCCATGTATTGTGGTGCCCTCACCCTTCTCTTTCTTTACTTACAGTTGAGAGTGCAGCCTGGTTTTAATTTCTAAATCATACTTGTCTCATAATTTTATAATGAGATCTTCCAGCTTGGTGAACGCAGTTCTGGAGACTATTACAAGCTAATTGTTTCTTCTAGATTTTGATTGGCTTGTGCCCTGAAAAAGGGGGTTATTGTAATGTTCTGATGGTGGTGTTATTTCAATAAGATGGTAAATGAGTAACCTCTGTCCAAAATAAACACTGTGTTTAAGAAGGGGAAATCAAAGGTGAATATAGACACTAGGGATCTAGGGGCTAGGCTGTTCTTTTCTGTGCTACCTACCTCATGTGCCAGAATCAATTATTTATTGTACTTCAGGTTATAAAAGCATACTATGGCACTAGACCATCCTAACTTAGTTCTAGAGTTCTGCCACAAATCCAGCTGCCATTCATTTGAAACATGGGAATCTTAAACTAAATGGGAATCTTTATGTAGATTACTCCCGTCCTCATCCTCCATTTTTAGGAGGATGAAGCTCAATGGCAATAAAATCTCCAGTAGCGTAAACAGAACTTTAGGCTGCTTTCTTGGCATACACTTCCCTTATCATTGTTGCTCAGAAAATACATATTATCCCTGTAATAGCTCAGTCTTCAATGGCTCTAGAAGGTAGTTTCATGAACCAAAAGTCAGCTCCATTGTGTTTATTTTACTGCACTCTATCTGCACCAGTGCAGAGTAGAAAGAGGATAATCTAAGATGCTGTGCTTGATTGTATTGTGAAAAAATTTGCACTGTGTTAGAGCGTATTTATACTGAAATGAGAACCTGAACTGAATATACCCACTTTGGGTTTTACTCTTTTAATAATTATTATTAGTAACATAAATTATAATTAAACTAATAAATAAATCTGAGTTTGTAATGTGTGTCTCTTTGGATAAAGGAAGAGGGCAGGAAAGGAGGTAGTATTACAGGTGTCTGCATCAGAGCTTATTGTCTTAATTGCCATTTAATTGAAAAATAGATACTTATAAAAAGGTCAAATGAGTCAGTCGGGGGAAGCCTGTTTCTTTCCATTGAGGATAAAGGGAAGCTAGATGATGAGCAATATGCGATGACTGCGCTGTACTTGCCTCGAGCTGGGTAGGAACAAACTTCCCTTTATTCTCCTAGGGCTCTACAAATAAGGCCTTTTAAGTGCATAATAGCATCGCTAATCCATTTCTGCCACTATATGGGCAGGAGGGCGTTGTGCTGACCGCTTCCTGCTTTGAGATGAATTAAAAGCTGACTGAAAACACGAATAACAAAAATTACAGAATGGATTAGCTGTGACAGATTTTTACCTGTAATGCCAACACATTTGAAGCCACGGAACTGACTCTGAACACGTGAGGTAGACAGAGTCTGGTTCACTCTAAGTTATGATTCTATACAGGTAGCTCCTTTGTATTGACTTACTGACTGATCCTCTAAGTGAAAAGTTGCTTAAAAGTGGGTGACGTATTCACACATCTTGATCTTAAATATGCTTATATAAAGTTCCAAAGCCATGATGTTGGAAGACTGGAGATGATAAAAAATAATTTAGGGTAGAAAAGTACTAGAATTGAAGCATTAAGACTTAAACCCACAGTTTTCCCTTTTACATGTCCGCTGGCAGAGAGGACTGAAAGTGGGACATACCTTACTGCAAGAGACATACCAGTTTGCTCCTCCAAACCTATGCTTTTTTTTTTTAAAGTTTGCACTTTAAAACTTTTGAACTAAATGCCACATAGAAAAATGTTAAATTATTTTTTACAAATATTGAAATTAATGTCTTTACAATAGAGAGAACCTATGGTAAAGCCTGTGATTACATTGGGGGCACAGTGAATATGTATTGAAATATTTTTTAACCATGTCTTTGTAAGTAATTCATTGTAATCATGTAGGGTATCTCGCCAAGACTTAATTTAACTGCAACTAATAACTGCTCTTTGCAATTACAGATCCCCATGGACCATCCTTTACCATTGGAAAGGCAGTGTGGTTACTCTGGGGTTTGGTATTCAACAACTCTGTGCCTGTGCAAAACCCCAAAGGGACAACAAGTAAAATCATGGTGTCGGTTTGGGCTTTCTTTGCTGTCATTTTCCTGGCTAGTTATACTGCCAACTTAGCTGCATTTATGATTCAAGAGGAATTTGTTGACCAAGTGACTGGACTGAGTGATAAAAAGGTAGGTCTTCAGCTCAAAAGAGGTCAGTGTCCATTCTTCATAATCCTTCTACAAATTTGTGCTAAAAAAACTCTGAGCAAGATAATAAGCTAAAACTGGATGATTTCATCCTGAGTGTAATCCTTTACTAACAAACCTAAGATCCAAACCTAAGATTCAAAGTCTTTGAGCTGCCTTTTCAAAAGTAACTGTGCTCATTGAAAAGTATCTTTATTTTGTGATGGAAATCAATTCCTGTTTGATTAGGAATGCCTCACCAGTATGCAATAAAATTAAATTCACCAATATGCTGGGGAAAAAAAAAAGTCAGTTTGAATGCAGGGAAGGTATATTTAAAATTATTTTAACTTCTCTGTGTGGAATATTAATAATATATTAATTGACAAAATATTCATAAAACCAGCAACTATCCAATAATTATCGGAAGCCAGTTAATGCTCCTGAAAAAATGTCTTTTTGCTTTCTGTTTAGTGTGCAAGGAAGTTACAGAAAGAGTTCAGATTTAAAGTGGTGCCAGCATAAATAAGCAAAGAGAAATGATAAAAAGTGATACCTATTGTCTGTGGCTGTTTGAATGTTTTCCTTGTATAAAATGGCAGGAGTAAATAGGAAAATTTGGGGGTTTGTGTTATCACATTGAAGTGAGATGTAAATTACATGAGACAAGGTGCAGTATTTTGAAGTGTTTGTGGAAGATGCTTTCCTAATTCAAGAACTTTTGTGAGAATTTCACTTTGAGCAGTAGGCTCTGTTAACTCACTTAAACCCTACTCAGGTTTCACACAAACTGACAAATAAAAAATATGCTTATTTTTCATATTCTTCTAGCTTGACTGAACTTTCTGCTGAAAGAATACTTCCCAGATCTTTGTACTTGTGAATTTTAATCAATAGTCTTATAAATCAGAAACCTAGCAATTACTTCTTTTTTTATTTCATTTGTGTGACTGCTTTGTAATAGTGGTATCACATGGAGGGATTGAAGTCCATTTGCAAAATTATTGTTGTGATGAGTAGGCACAAAATACATGAAGGGCATGCTGCTTTCAAGTTTGTGCCCGGTTGTTTTAAAATGAAACTAAATATTGACATTAAGAAGTAATATTTAAACAGACTATTGCACAGGGGAGGACTTCACAAGGGATTTTTCTGAAAGGACACAAAATAAAGGAAATTGTTATTCAAAAGAAGGCAACAGCTCAGATAGCCTCGTGTCTGTTTTTTGTTTTAACTGCTTTCTATGACCAGCCTTTGAGTGATCTGAAGTATCAAAGCAGGAATTGCAAGCATGGCTAGAGGAAAGACAGATAAAAAGAAACAAAAAATGATAGTAGTTTTGTTTTCGTTAAGCTGTATTGTCACAAAACCTTTGAAAGAGTATGAAGACTGTTAAATATGCCTCTATTTTAAGATAATATTCTTAGTAAGAGACAGATAAAAGGTATTCTTCCTTCTGAAAAGATTTGAGAAATGTCTTTCTCTTGTTTGTGAGAAAGTACAGAGTGTTTTCCTGGGAAGTCTCAGTTTTGGCAGGATTTGGTTTGCACCTGGCATTCGGGTCTGCCAGTGCACCCCTGTCTTCCTCTCTTGGCTGGCTGTTTGCCAGTCTCACCTATGGGCTGGGGAAATGTCAGTAGCTGTTCTGTAGCTTTTGGCTAATAACTTCCGTGGTTATGTAATTTTTCTTTTCTCTCTGCTAAGTAGGATTTTATTTCTACAAAAAGCAAAATAAAAATAGAAAAATACTTGAATCAGAAAATACCATCTGTTTTTGTGTGGTCTGCTGATAATTTATTTGATCTGCCACCTCTGTTTTTATTTTACAGTTCCTCAAATTTTGCCTGAAGCATATAGAGATAAATCAGGGGAGCCATGCCTTTTCTGATTAAATTAAACAAGGAGGAAGTCCAGAAAAGCAATGATCTATTTCAAAACATTCCTCTTGTCATACACAGGTTTTGCTTCCTCCACAGTCCTGAGATTTCTCGGATTGTAAAAACTCAAATAATTAAGGATAATTTATGGGAATATAATCTGATCCATGTTAAATTATTTTTCTCCCCTCTTTGCCTTGTTGCTGCAATGTTGTTAGTAGGAGAACAGTTCAAGAATTTGCAACAATTTCACTGTTTTTTGGTCGAGAACACTGACCCTTGCTGCAAGCAAAGTGCTAATAGGCAAAGGCCAGTGAGAAGAGACAGAAGTGTGGGTAAAATTAATTTTAAATAAGTAATATCTAGGAGTTCAATAAACTTTTGAAAAAACTTCTGGGCTGGGAAATCAGTTTACTGTTCTTCCTCTCGCCTGTTTTTCCTATTGCCACAACTGAAGAGTCGAGGCCTTTGTATTGTCAATGCAATATAGTATTCCCAATTAGAGATACTGGGGTTTCTCAATCCAGCTCCGTATGTGATAGACTACAGAGAAGAGAAGCTAGGAAGAAACCCTTCTCTCTCTGGGAAGTCATCCCTGACCCCCAGCATTCAGTGTTTTCCCGTTCAGGAAATGTGTTACACTCCAGCATCTGGTTCACCAGATTTGCTGAACACATGATAACATGCTATGTACCCTGCTTCGCTTTAAGACCTCTTGATAGTTTCCTCAAACTTCATAATCATAGAATCATAGAATCATAGAATGTTTTGGGTTGGAAGGGACCCCTAGAGGTCATCTAGTCCAACCCCCTCGCAGGAGCAGGGACACCGCTAACTAGATCAGGCTGCTCAGAGCCCCATCCAACCTGGCCTTGAATGTTTCCAGGGATGGGGCCTCCACCACCTCTCTGGGCAACCTGTTCCAGTGTTTCACCACCCTCATTGTAAAGAACTTCTTCCTTATATCTAGTCTAAACCTACCCTGCTTCAGTTTAAAACCATTACCCCTTGTCTTGTCACTGCTGGCCCTACTAAAAAGATTTTCCCCATCTTTCCTATAGGCCCCCTTTAGGTACTGAAAGGCTGTAATCAGGTCTCCCCGCAGCCTTCTCTTCTCCAGGCTGAACAAGCCCAACTCCCTCAGCCTGTCCTCATAGGAGAGGTGCTCCAGCCCCCAGATCATTTTTGTGGCCCTCCTCTGGACCCACTCCAACAGTTCCATGTCCTTCTTGTGCTGAGGGCTCCAGAGCTGAATGCAGTACTCCAGGTGAGGTCTCACCAGAGCAGAGTAGAGGGGCAGAATCACCTCCCTCGACCTGCTGGCCACGCTTCT